GCAATATCATCCATTTGTTTTATTTGAGTTTCTTTACAAATGTCTTTAATCCATGAGGCATTTTTGTTATGTCTATTTGGACTTTCCCACATTTCTTTCCAACATTTTAGAGCATCATCTTTACATGGGGCTAATTTGTTTTGCTCTGTATTTTCTCCAAGTGATGTATCTGTATTGTTTCATGCATCCATCATCTATTTCAATTTTCTTTGCTGTAGCTGTTATCCACTGTTTTAATTCTTCCATAGTTTCAAACTAACTAAGTAATACTAACAACAAAAAGGCATATTATTTCAAAGAATCTTCTTCCCTTACATCTGCAGGTTGGGTCAAACAAATGTGAAAGCTTGTTTGCACAACCAAATGGCATATTAATGATGGTGGAGATAAGGCTGAAGTAGTGGCCCCTCTCACTCCTTAATCAGCTTTTCTGCACAGTATCTGTGTGAAGTGAGCTATGTAATAAAAGGCACCCATTAAAAAATTTCCAAGCCTGTAATATGGCATGGGCTGAATAATTTTATTTATTCAAGAAAATATTAGGAGAATTATTATGGGACTCCTGTGACCAGTGATGTCTGTCTTCTGGAAGAATTTTAGTACTTTTAATAGACAATTATTTGATTTAGCACATGCACACACGTGTAATTTATATTTGCTGAATAAATACTGACCTTTTTATGTCCCAATATCTGACAAATATTTCAAGGAAAACATTAGATTATTAAAAAATAAAACATACTTCATGTGGTTTAAATATTATTTTCAAGCAAATACAGAGCTCTATTTTTTATTATAAAACTTGCCTCTGGAAAAAAATAATAATAGCAACATAGACTTCCCCATACCATTTATTTAAACAAAGACAATAAAAACCATTGACATGCGAATTCTGTCAAACTCAGGAAATGTGGACATTAATGCTGTGGTTATACACTCATGTGCTTCCAACAGAGTTTAACCTATTTCTACCAAAGGTCATTTGGTGAGGCACTTCTAGCTTCACTGCCACTGCCTCTACAATCACCTGCACTACTTAGTTATTTTCAGACTGAGGCAGTTTTGCATCCATTCATTGTTGCCAATTAGTTCTGTGGTGCTGCAGGGGATGTGTGGAAATTTTCTTTCACATTAAGCACAGGAAGGTTTTCTGTGGAAGAGGTTCTGCTCCGCATCACTATAGGACCTTGATAAACATTTGCCCACATGTATTGTACCTGGGGTGGTGTAGTGGATAGAGTAACAGACTAGGACTCAGGGAGCCTTGGGTTTGGACTGTATTTTTTTAAGAGGCTGAAATCCTATTGTGTACAGTTTGTGTAACTTTCTTCAGCTAAATGCAGCTAATTGACAAGGGGTAAATTTCAGTTGCTCAATCAAGCGTGTAACCAGACCAATGACCAAGAAGTGCAGTGGCACCTCATCAGTTGGACACAATTATCTGCGGCAAGTTATACAAAATTTATGCAAATAGAAACAAGTGTTTTGGCCTGAGTGTGTTCTCGATGTCATGTAAAGTAACAGAGACTGGTGTTTTCCGAGAGCTAAGAACTCATGCCCTGTAAGTATCTCTTTGAGATCAATGTATGGATAAATAAATGCTCATTACAATTACAACTCTATATAAATTTTTCTCCTCTAAAAATTCAGTTATTTTCTTCATAAGCTTTGGCTTGTGTTTATCCCTTTGCACTGACTTGTGAATGTTTAAATTGTTTCACAGAAGCTTTTTTTCCAGAGAGGATTGGATTGTCTGCATTGTCATGATGATAGTTTCAGACCCAAATGTTTCATATACCTGTTCTCCAATAAAGTCCTCATTAAGGATGTAATATTGGATATCTTCTAGTATCACTGCCCTTATCATAACAATGACAAGTTCACGTGACTTTAGATTTGCCACTCCTGCAGCCTCCAAAAGCAATGATTCAGCTTTTCAGTAGGCCATAGTCCCCTAACTCACCCTGCACTGAATTCTTGAATGCTTTCATGGCCAGGATCCGATGGTTGTTGTAGTTTTTTCGGGTTGTTTGGCTGTGTTTCAAAACGTGGCCAAACAAGCCAAAAAACCTACAACAACCATCACCCTGCACTGTTTAAAACCCTGAAATGTGGTTTTGTTTTCACAGTTAGGAAGTAGACTTGCAATCACTTTTGTGAGTATTTCTCTCTCTCTCTCTCTCT